AAAAATTAATGATAACCATTATGATTGGGTGCGCTGCATTTCAAGTTGAAGATATCAAGATGAAATTATTGTTTTTAACTCCTTCTTTCAAGCAAAAAGCTGTGTTAGTAAATACAGAAATAAATTGTTTGATATGGACATGGACATAGAATTTGTGGTGGAAACGGACTGTACATCCTCGTAAAAATTTTCTGTTAGCGCAAGATTCCATCCAATATTTCTAAGAAATGCTTTGAAAAAGCTCTTCTGGTCCTTGCTCTTTTTTCCTCTGCTTAGCAGAGATTTGAATTACGACTGTTACAAGTGATATTGAGCAATTTTCAGCTTGCAGTCTAAACAGTATTCACAGAAAAAAAAGACTTATTAAATGCGAAAAAGGGGAACTCAGTTAAGTCGAAAATCAGTTGCACAACATCTGCAAAAACTTCGAATTCATCAGAGGCGCCTGTACTCAAATACTCTGTGAATGAAAATTAAGAATGGGACAAAGGTGCTCTACGCATGTTTCTAAATTATATCAGAGTTGAGCAAGAGGTTAGGCACAAGTTTTTCGAAAACGACCCCTCCCCTCTCATGCAAGCTCTCAAACGACCTCTTCTTCCTTCTCTTGACCTCCGGAACTTCGGAGTGTGACATTCTAGACGACATCATCCTTTTTTAAAGAGTTATCAGATTTTTGAGCTGTACGCCCGATTTTCTGTGACTGCACTTCACAATCACACATAATTTGACGGCTGATTTTGATCTGAATGGGCCTATGGGGTATGGCGTAACGGCTCCAAGCTTCCACTGTAGCAATAAAAAGCTATGAGTTCAATACTCATACTAGAAATGAAACGATTTCTGGATTCCAAAGGCAGGTTAAAGGTATCAGACACAACCCCTCAAAAGTTCAGGCAGCCTGACCTTTTGCGGGGGTTGCGCCTGATCCGATTAACCTTAGCACCGAAGAATCTTTTCCACCTTAGCTTTATATGATTAGCTAGCATGAACCTCGAAGATTCTACGATAGGTGTTTGAGCTTACCTCAACTTGTTCCGGCTTTGCGTGATAGGTGGAGTTGAAGCACCGGAAGTAGAAAAGGCGGTGACTGACTCTGGCAGCACTTCTTGATTCATTATTTGAAAGCGATATGAAGTCCAATTTCTACAATAGATTGATAAAGAGTAATACTTCGTTATGAATACAAAAAGCTGACTTCTTTCATTTCTGACCAGGTTAATCATGTTTGAAAATCATGCTTTTTAGACACTAGAGAATGTTATAGATAAAGGTTTGTAGAGCTCGTTGATTTGTTTTGGCATACTGACTACGGAAATAATACCCTGTTTACATAAAAAAGCTTCTTTGGTGACCTTACGGTATGTGTAAGGTAGACGAATTGGAATTTGGCTGAGACTTCGTTAGTCGCATTAATCAGCATGCTGTTCACAAAAGTCACTCCTCTGGTAGAGTTGTGAAATCCACGGTTGGGCGCTTTCTTCACTTTACTCGATCGTAATATTTTCTCACTTTTCTGAACAAATTCGCTTCTTGATCACGACCCCCCCCCCTCCCCCTTTGCTCTTACTCTTAATACGACCCCCGGTCTAGCGCTCCTGACCCACGCTCAATGCTGTTTATGACATTGAACTGGACCGTGCTGAAATGTTCAATATTTTCAACGTACTACTATTTCCCCTTTATTTGTGTAGGTGTACATTTTGTCTCGAAATCCGAGATTTATGTATGTCGCATGGGCTCTGCCCGATTTATTGCGAATATTTGACTTCTTACACATCCGCGTAAGCGAGGAGAAGGGCAAAGCGATGAAACACATTGCACTGAGGGACAGGGCCATCACATTTGTCACATCCGGATCGAACCCGCAATGATAAGTGTGACAGGTAGTGGATGCACCGAGTCATTGTAAGAAATTCGCATTTTCTACTCAACGTTCTCTTCCGGCCCGTCTCGAAGGTGTGTAGAGCGGACTGCTCCCCGAGGGATGGGCGGGCGTGGTGTCGGTTTACGGACGGGAAGCGCGATTTTACTTCAACCGCACATCGATTCCTCCTTCTGAACTTCTTCTTACCGAGACACGGACGAAAGGAGGGACAAGCTGCTGGTGTTCTGCAAGTCTTAATAATCCTAATAGTCTAAAGGGCTAGCTCAGAACTTAGTCATTTGCACTATGACTCGCCCTCAGCCCGCACAGCTGATCCAGGGCTCTATCAACACTTCCCACCCCCCGCTTGCACTCCTGGCCGTCGCCTCAGGCCCCCTTTATGTAATCTGCTCAGGTTCCATTGTTGTGCGTGCTGCTCTGCTGCTGCTATTCGACCCCCCGTCTATATCATGCTCTGTAATTATGGCATGCTTTTCAACCATATTCTACTCATCATATGTTTATTTCACTCCTCACGAGGTAAATAGCTTCTCATTCGTTCAAAAAATCCAGAATTTTTTTTATAAAAAAACACTCAAAATGTTTTCCACTCCTTCTTGTTTCCCCCATCTCAAAAAAGCAATTACTAGCACATTTAAACGCTTAGAAGACAGCACCGTTGACATGAAAATGACTCGAGGTCAATCAATTTTAATGGTGGTAGAAGAGTGACAGAGCAGTTGATGGATAACAATTTTGTGTGCTCGGGTATGTACGCAATTTGTTCCCATGAGAAGTGCATCAGCCTTTCATTTTTCCTATTGCAGAAAATCTCCTGGAAAAATAGTGCTTTTTAAGCAGTATGTTAGGGTAGAATTCCCTTGCAAAAATATCTGTAGCTTTTCTAATTGATCTGTGTTTAAGTCATCAGAAAATTCCGACACTGAAAATATGGAAACGGTTTTTGATTCTGTTTCAACAAAAGTCAAGAACTCTCATAAAAATGCTTTGATTCGGATCTTTTTGTCTCAAAGGATGAATGCAGTATGAAAAAAAATTGTGTGGCAGTGTTATACAGTTTCAATCAAAGTTTTATAGACCTGTACATTGTTTTGATATTTCGACATTTCTGAGATTTCAATCAAAGTCGAAACACCATTGAGTAATAGAAGATCTATGTAGATTGCGTACATACACGAGCACACAAAATTGTCATCCATCAATTGCTCTGTCACTCTTCTACCACCATTAAAATTGATTCGAGTCGAGTCATTTTCATGTCAACGGTGCTGTCTTCTAAGCATTTAAATGTGTTAGTAATTGCTTTTTTGAGATGGGAAAAACAAGAAGGAGTGGAAATCATTTTGAGTGTTTTTTTTTTGTAAAAAAAAATTCTGGATTTTTTGAACGAATGGGAAGCTATTTACCTCGTGAGGAGTGAAATAAACATATGATGAGTAGAATATGGTTAATAAGCATGCCATAATTACAGAGCATGATGAAGGTAAATTTGTTCAGTAATCACTCTTTAGCAAAATAAATTGAAGTAATTTGATTTCAGTCCATTACACGATGGAAAAGAAAATGTCTGTTACCTTTCCTTATTGATGAATGTTCTGTTGATTTTTGTAGGGTTATAAGATGATGTTATTTTTAATTTTCGATAATGTAAACCCCCTTGCAGTTCCTTCTCATCATAAAATTTGAGGATCCGTTCCCACTTGCTCAGAGATCATCCTTGACACTTCCCATTTTCCCGGAAATCATAAAATGTGAGAAAGTGGCATTTATCGCCCAGACAACACAGCCAGTGCAGCATCGTATTGGGTAACCATGTACACAAAAAAGAAGGCTTTCCCCTTTGCGCTTCCCTTGACAGATTTTCTTCAAGCCATCCGCGAAACTCGATGGTGGAGCTATTTTGAACTCGTACAAAAAATATAGTTGAATCGCGTAGGTGCTCGTAAAATTTGCTGGGAAGAAGATAAGTTTGATAAATAATTACTCTCATCGGGTATGATCAAAATTCTGACAAGGAACGAAGTAATGGGGAGAGCGGGTCATAAATCAAATATTGCGTTGCGACCTTATTACAAGAAACCCCGCTACTTCGCCATATATTGAAGACTATCAAAATAAATCACCATTTTCTTTGTGAATTACGATAGGCCGCTTAGCGATTCTTTTTGAATTTATTATTGCTTTATTATCACAAGTGAATCCACTAAATGAAGCTCTGTCTTTGACTTCCGGTTAAGGTTTCCAATCAAGGGCTTGCTACATATTTCTTGTAAAATTCATTCAAATTCTTGCAAAATTTTTGTCATTCATAGCTTTTCTCCAACCTCGAAAATCACCTAGAATGAATCCACTAGACGAAGCTCTATCTTTGACTTTTGAGTAAGGCTTCCAATCTAGGGTTTGCTACAGAAATTTTTTTGTCAATTCAATCATTTCCTTTTTAAATTTTTGGATCTACAACTTATTATTATTACTATTATTCGAAAATTATCTTTAAAAAATTAATAAATTAATAATTAAAAATATATAATTATTATTCGTTATTCGAAAAATTTAGCAACTCGTGAGTTCTAAATCGTTTTAAAAATTCGTTCATACTGACATTCTCAAATATACGTTCAGCACCGTATCCTCGTAAGGCAGGTTTATGAGTAAAATTATTGTACAGCTTTGCCTTTTTTCTGACTGCTTGTTATCGTTGTCGACATGCTATATTACAGTCATAAAACTTTTAAAAATTTATCGCTTTTCTTATCAAACGACTAAGGTGAACATTGAAGACAAAAGACAAGTCTAGAATTAATAGAAAGACAATACGAGCTCTTAAAAATGCGCTTTTTTATATCACGAAATTTCTGTAGGGTTTTCTGAACGGATATATTTTTTGATGGTATGAAAAGCTGAACTCTCTCAGATAAACCACACTTATTGCTGCATGACATCATATAGAGCTCTAATGAGTATTTCTAATTGTCAGTAAAAGTACCGCAATATTTGCTGTTGTTATAGTTCCAGATGTCTTGTCAACTTCATAAACGTATATATTTCATCGTACAATGAATCTTTATTGATGACTGCATTGCTGTCTAAGCAAGCATTATATATCAATGTTTCAATATCGAAGAAGACCTTGGTCCCCAGCAAGCTTATAGAGCACGCTCAGAGGAAAGTGATTAGTTTTTACTTTGAAGCCTTTCTTCTCGCATTCACGAGCCTTTGCGAACGGTTCATCGCTAGGTACATTTACAAGCCTCTTCACATCTGGTTTGACAAACTTCCACATACTTTCCCATCCACGGATTGGCTGAAACTGTTTGATCTTATCAAGTTGATATCATTTTTCAAACAGTGAAAGTATAATTGAGCTGCCAAAGGATAATTATAAAAGTGTGGATTGCGTTTTTAAAGCTTACAAAGCCGATGACGTTTAGATAAGTTTCCGACGATATACCATCATGGGGATCTACGTGAACCAATATCACCTTGAATTTCGTCTGCGGAGCCTAAATTATACGAACTCTTTTTTTTGAAAAAAAGAAAGGAAGTTCGTTAAAGACACAAGCCAGTTTTCTTTCCAAGGTGCACTCCGCTAATTCGATGAAGTTAGGAGGAGCGCCGTCGAAAATTGTCACCATTAACTTGTCACAAATATCAGCTGAACAAGCTATTGCGAGGCCTAACAGCAGCAGACCGTATCGCATCTAGAACTTATATTCTGTATGAAAATAGAGATGTGAAAAGTTCACGAGGGCGTTATTTAGATGCCAGTCAGGGAAAGCTTTATGGCACTGAGCACCATGCTAGGAAACCCTATTACATCAACAGTAGCCGCTTTATATATCCAACCGTTGTCTGTAAACAGAATAATACGGAACCTATTGAAAATGGTCTGTTAACCAATTAAGCTCACTCAGAACTGAGCACTTAGGACCTTTTATTATATACAGGGTGTCCCAAAAGTAAGTACACACTTTCCAATCGTCAATATCTCTCTTCCCAGTGGGTCTTCTTTCGCCAGTCAACTACCATTCTGTAGAGGAGGCTTCAACTTAGAATTGCGGCATTGAACGAATCACTGATCGCTCTTTGTTACTGTAGGATTACGGTAAGAACTTCCAACAAGTGGAACCACTGTGAAATATGCAATCTGACAAAATTCTTTTCGAAAAATCTGAAAAATTGTGTACTAGGGTATTTGCGTACACTGATTCCACTACACAACTTCTTATGAGTGTTTTCAAATTTTTGACGGTGTAATCACATTTCTGACAAATACTGGAAATTCGCTTATTACGGTTTACCTGGATAACTTTGGAAAGAAGCATCATAGTAAAGTGGAAATTTCATATTCGAAATTAGCGGCTTTCATTACCATAGTACAAGAGATTTTGGCTTGTTTGGCTTTGTTTCGAAGCAGAATATGGCTTCCAATGGCCTAAAATCCTTATCGAAGTTTCTACAGTAATCCTACAGTAAGGAAAAGCGATCGGTGATTCGCTCGATATTGAGAATCTAAGTTGAAGCCTCCTCTACAGAATGGTGTTTGAATGGCGAAAAAAGACACAATGAAAAGAGAGATATTAACGATTGAAAAGTGTATACTTACTTTTGGGGCACCCTGTATATATATATATAAAACACTAATTTGGATACGCATTATATAAGTGCTCAATCCAGGAAAGCAGTTTACATTTCAGACTAATATATATTGTACATGAAAGTAAGCGCCAGTGAGCAATCAAGCTCGTGAATTGGCGGCTGAAGTGATAGGTAAAAATATCAAAGGCAGGGCTCGGCAAAACTGAACACAAAACAAAATACAGAATTTTTGCTCCTTGGGGTTATCCAAAGCGCTGATAAGAAAATCGACCTTGAAGAGCGTGAAGATGGCAAAAACACGCATTTTACGGACCTTTCATCATGATTTTGTGAGTGAAATAGTTTCCGCCAAGCTCAGACAGTTGCATCGGGAAGTTCGCGGGTGCTTGCTCGGCCACCAATCATCCATGCCGCGAGCTGCCCGGTATAAACCGATATTAGACCCGATAAGCGACCGCGGCGCATCCTGTAAGCGCCCGATAGTTGACCCGATTAGCATGCTTGTGAGACCTAGGAAGAGTGAAAAAATTTTGTCCTGTCTTTCATGACAACGACTGGGTACAAATTGAGCAACTTGTTAGCTCATTTGTCGACATCATCTACTGTTGTCGATAAAACTGATTGCTGAGGTTTGTTTCGTGTGCACATAAACTCAACTGTCACACAACTCAATCCGAAAAGCGATTACCAGGGCCACAAACACTTAGGGTAGCCCCATCACTGCGGCGTACCTCACGCGGGTTGCGCCTTAAGCTACAGCGTGTAAGAAGTGCGGCCTTTAATAAGGCCCGCGGCACGCCGAGTGAGGTGATTGGGCCGCGACTCTCCCGGTAAGCTCTTTCCAATTTTGACTTCGGCCGCGGCGTTCCCGTTAAAATATACATGGGCCGCGGCGTTCGCGGCTGAAACTTTAAGGGCCGCGGCGCGCCATGTAGCATGCTTTGAGGCCGCGAACTTCCCGATGCAATTGTCTGAGAGGTTGAAGACGCAGGATTTTGCGGGACCCCTATGGTTATCATTGCGGGGGTAAAGGACTATACAGGGTGTCCCAAAAGTAAGTACACACTTTTCAATCGCTAATATCTCTCTTCCCAATGGGTCTTTTTTGGCCAGTCAAGCACCATTCTGTAGAGGAGGCTTCAACTTAGATTTAGAGTATTGGTCGAATCACCGATCGCTCTTCGTTACTGTAGGATTACGGTAAGAACTTCCAGCATGTGGAACCATCATGAAATATGCCATCTGACAAAATTTTTTCAAAAAATCTGAAAAATTGTGTACTAGGGTTTTCGCGGACGCTGATTCCACTACACGACTTCTTACGAGTGTTTTCAGCTGTTTTGACGGTGTAATCACATTCCTGACAAATACTGGGAATTCGGTTATCACGGTTTACCGGAGATAACTTCGCGAATAAGCGTCGGAGTAAAGTGGAAATTACATATTTGAAATCAGCGGCTTCCATTGGCCTAGTATAAGAGTTTTTGGTTTGTTTGGTTTTGTTTCGAGGCAGAATATGGCTTCCAATGCTCTGAAATCCTTGTCGAAGTTCTTACAGTAATCCTACAGTAACGAAGAGAGATCGGTCATTATCTCGGTACTGTAAATCTAAGTTAAAGCCTCCTCTACAGAATGGTGTTTGACTGGCCAAAAAAGACCCATTGGGAAGAGAGATATTAGCGATTGAAAAGTGTGTACTTACTTTTGGGACACCCTGTATGTCGCCGAAAGAAAGAGGTTCCCGCGCGGGCAATGCAGCAGATACTCAGCCTGTGCTATTTAGAAGATGTATTTGTCACAAATGTCCGACGGGACCTCCCACTTTCGGCGACATATAGTCCCTACCCTCACTGCGGCAGGCTCCTTTTTAACGGTGGGAGGAGAATATTCTCAATTCGTGCTAGCGCGACACGTTTGCCAGCAGGGGTTTGTGGGCAAAAATGTTAAAATTTGCCGAGCCACTGCTTTTGAATGTGAAGTGTGACAATGAAAAGTTATTACAATCTGGGCTTCATTTGTTATGAATCTATACAATAGAAGCTTAGTTGATGGTCAATGTTGATGCAGACGATCAACGACGATGCTAATTATGCATTTATGTAAAAAAAATGCTGGGAATACTGTTGACAATTCAGCATGAGGCACATCATTTACATGTATATATTTTACATAACAAATCAAGCAATCAAATTCTCATGCAAAATGGCCGAACCAGTCGATTCTGCAAAAATCAACTAAATAGCACGGTCACCGAACATAAATGCCTCATTTAGTTAGGTGACGGCAGTATAGTACAAAAAGCGTTTAATAATCAGATGGATTTGGTTACACATGGCTTGAACGTATCATAATTCCACCAAAATAGAAAGTATCACCGTCACTCAACTGTCAGCATAGTTCATACGTTCGTTGGCAGTCAAAAGCACATTAACTACTACCGCTGAGTTTTGGTATGCAAATGAACAAAACATAGTTGATAGCATTTTTATGACTATACTATTATAAAAAAAATGGATACTAATACTTCAAGTGCGACATTCAGAAAAAACCATAATCAGCATTGTTGGGCATAACCAATGCATAGTTTGTAAATACCTTACTTTTAAAGGGAGAGACACTTTTTCGATATGATTCTCCGTGCCGTAATATATCATTAGGCTACTACTCAGATAATCGCCGGGAGCATGCGGCCATACGATTTATTGGCAGGGCACCGGAAAAGTGATTTTCTGCGGTCCGCTTGCACAAATTTGAAAGAATGTTGTCCAAATTTTAATGAATGCTTCAAGAGCAATTGCTATTTTTTCATAGATTAGTTGCGGCGCAGTGGCCGCGTTTTCGCGGATTTTCCGCGAGAATATGCAAATTATTGAAGTCTGCACGGTCCTTTGTGAAGGACCGCACAGCTCGTAGATACCTTCCGATGGGAATAGGTATCCTAAACACAGGCAATCAAATCATCGATGGCACCTCTGTTACACAGAGTCTCACCTTGGCTTGGCGTACGCCCGAAACTGCGTACAAAGAGTCCTAACGCCTGCTGAAAGTTTAGCCAGCGCTCGCTGAAGGAAATTCTTTGACGAGCGCTCTCAGAAAATTCTATGTTGCTGCCCGCTGCCAGAGCAAAGAAGTACCGCTTGCTAAATGTTTGGCCCCAAAATTGTGCTGACCAGAAAAGCGCGAGTTTGCGAATCGCCTGCCCCCGGCGATTATCTGAGTAGTTGTGCTTAATTTTTAACCTACTGCATTCATTTGATGCATTCAATTGGCTCGTTTTCGATGATACCAAGCCCTTATACTTCATGATTACTCACAATTTACCTTTATGTTTTCCATAGTGCGAAATTGACCACGCTTTCTAGCCTCTCAGACTGGTCCACCTGAAAATCATCAAAATTCTTGAAAGCTACGGTAATCACAAAAATTTCATCCAATGCCTGCTGAGTGTACTGTACAAACTTTTCACGAAGATTATCCTCGCTATATCAAGGACGCTGGATGAAGCCCAACCCCAAAAACAAGCTGGATTTCGCAAAGGATTCAGCTGCTTGGACCACATCCAGACCGTTTCGAGGGTCATAGAAGTCTGCCGGGAGTACCGACTGCCTCTCGTCCTGACCTTCGTCGACTATGAGAAAGCCTTCGACAGCGTCGAAACCAACACCATCCTGTCAGCGCTAGTCGATCAACGAGTGGACCCAGCCAACGTGAGGACACTAGCCAACTGCTACAAGGACTGTACAACAACGATACAGCTGTTCCATCGCCCAATGACCATACCAATCGGGAAGGGGGTCCGACAGGCGACACAATCTCGCCGAAGCTGTTCACCGCGGCCTTGCAGTGGGTGATGAAGTCACTAGACTGGGACGAGAGAGGTATACGAGTTGATGGGAGATTCCTGTCCAACCTTCGTTTTGCGGACGACATCGTTCTCTTCTCGAGCAGTAACCGAAGCAGAGACGATGCTGAAGGAGCTGAACGAAGTAGGGAAGAAGATCGGACTGCGAATAAATCGGAAGAAGACTCAGTTCATGAGGAACGCCCTTTGCGAAGATGCAGAAATGGAATTGGAAGGCACCCCTATCATGGAGACGTCTTCTTACGTGTATCTGGACGTTCGACGAACATGGAGAACGACTTGAGGGAAGAACTTAACAGAAGAAGAAGAGCAGCCTGGGCCGCCTTCGGGCCTCTGAAGGAAGCCACCGACCAACTGACGGACCCGGAGCTTCGTGCCCACCTGTTCGACTCAACCGTTCTCCCGGCGCTCTGTTACGCAGCTGAGACTTGGGCCGATAGTGTAGCCACGTCGATTACGGACCACCCATAGAGCGCTCGAACGCAGTCTTCTGAAGATGACCCAACGCAAGCAACATCTAGTCGGACTTCGCAGCACGGTTATGAGAAGAATGTCCCGTCTTCATGACCCAGCGGAATACGTCGCGAAAGCCAAGCACCGATGGGCCGGTCACATAATGAGAAGAACAGACGACAGATGGACACTAAGAACATCTGAGTGGATTCCTCGCGAAGCCAAACGTCCTCGAGGAAGACCACCAACGAGATGGGTAGACGTGTTCGTGGAACGGATGGACCAGCTGAGAAATCAGCTGGATACGACTTTCGCCCCTGGAACTCGTGGACGCAGCCACCGACGACGGCCAAGAAGATCGTGGATGTCTGAAGCGAGAGACAGGGAAAAATGGCAACTTCTGTACTGGGGCCCGCACGTCACGTGAGGACGGGCCATCTAAGTACCTAAGTGAGTAATCGCGAAGTGTGATATTACCAGCTTCACAACAGTGCAAAGAACATGACAGAATTCTAGAAGTTTTAGGTTGTACATCCTCTAAATCGCTATGCACTGAAACCGATTAGATTCGTTACTTTCTTTAACACATTCACGACAAGGCCGATTTTTCGATGCCATTTCGGACAAGAGCTTTTTTCGCTTCGTCAAAATTATGACCCACCCGTGGGTTGTATTGTCCAAGATGATAGTCTTTTTGGAAAAAGTTCAAAACATGTCCTCGAGAATTTTTCCAGAGGGCTAATTGAAGGCGCTGATTATCAAAAAAAAAACAATTTAGTTCAGTTTTTGGCGTTATACGTAAGGTTACGGTGGTCATCCTGTACGAAACCAACACCATGGATTTCCATGAAAAATTGTGTTTTGGATTTGTTTCACGTGCTGATTACGTTTATAGTGTCCACTTTGTTCACTACCGTAGCCCCACAGTGGGGCTACGGTAGCAGTACGGTAGAGTTTTCGTAGAAATCAAAAAGCTGATGTAAGAAGGTGGTATCAGAACTTCAGACTATCATTTTCGTAATCAGCATGGTACAAAACCTATATATGCAAAGTTCGAGCTTCCTAGGATGAAAAATCCCAAAAAACAATAAAATCAATAAAATCGATAATTTTTGGTGGGCTAACGTTGGCCTTTTGCGCGCCCCGTATTACTCTTACGATACTTGGTGACCCCGGCCATGTGGAATGCGCTGTATGCCATAAGGTGCACCTTGAGACGCTGATTCTAAATCAGTGCTCGAAATCTGCGAAACGATCATTTGAGGGCATTTATGAACTTTTTTTGTAGAAAATTTGCGTACTTTTAGGTAGTTAAAATCAATCAACTTGATCTAATATACCGCTTAAAGCTATTGAGGAGAATCTTGAAAGGTGTAACGTTGTATTTATACTTATCTAAATCATATTCAGCATTTGAAGAAGAAAGAAAAATCATTATTAATGTTTTTCACCCTTCGCCGTAGCGCAATTCATTTTTGAAAAAATAATCATAACTTCATCCAGATTCTCGTTTCGCAGATATGAAAAACAGTATTCGAACCAGCATTAAAAAGCGCATTTTTTGGTATTTAAATCATCTGAATGGCCGGGGTAACCAAGTATCGTTCCCTGCTTAAATGTAAACTTGAATCCCCAGAAACAGCATTATTTTGCGAAGAATTTGAGCCAAAAGTTTGTGCCTTATATCTATCTATATAGCTACCCTAACTAACAGTATCCCGAGCTCGGACCACTCTTGCTGGAGCTTCATCTAGATGCCCACAATCCTGTGCCAAGACCCCGTGAAATTCCGTCGTAAGCTGGCAAAGATAACGCTTCATGTCTTACGATCCACCGGTGGGTTGCATTGTCGTGAATGTGTTAAGGAGTGTTTCTTATCGTTGTTTTGGCTTTCTCTTTATTTTTTCTTAGTACTTCTACAAGAAGCTTGCCTTTTTTGATTGTAGCTAAAATAACAGTAATGACTTGATAAGAATTCTTCCTCAACCCCATTTGGATGTATATTAAAAAAAAAGGTGCACATAAAACAAGAGAAATAATCAAACTCAGAAGAATAGAAAACATAAAAAAGTAAGAAAACACACAAGAAGAACAAATTCCACATTGCTTCCAATCATTTCTTGCAATTTTGACCTTCTGCACGGTATAATAAGTTCAAGTTCATGGTTTTTTTAAATTTTAAGAATTCGGTTAAGATCTATTCTTGAAGGGGCTTTTTATCTATGACTTTTTTTACAACCGCATGTTTGCACTTCTAATTATCATTATCTTCATCTATGCGTCAAAAAGCATTAGCATTTTGGAAATTCCTTATATTCTTTTATTCTAAATAGTTGTCGTCTTCATAAGACTAGCCGACGCTCGCCTACTCCATTAAATTTCTTATTTACCACTTTCTATCTATTACATGATTTTCATGCTTAAACGTCTCGCTCGAAATCCACGTTTATTATACAAACTCTGTTACCTTCATTTCATTCTCATTTTTATGTTTACGATATTCAGAGTGTCAGTAAATATTTAAGTTCATTTCTAACCTCTCCTTCACCGGAAAGCGCTGATGAGATTAGCGCAGTGTTGTTTATCATTATCGCAATATTTAAGCTAGCAAATTTAAATCGACTCATGAACATAGATCACTGAAGCATATGTTGGTCAAATGAATCCTATAGTACAGTAGAAGATTTTGGTTTTGAGAGAAATTGGTCAAAACAATGCTTCCAGCCCCAAAGCATAACCATAATAGCAAGTCAGATGCGTTTGCAAATTTTATGTTTTTCAGTTCTGGCGCAAATCATGCCTGTTTTATCCACACCGCGTAATCCAACTATTCACGGGATTCTCTTTATTTCTGTATTTGAAAAATTTGTGTCCAGTATCAAGTGTATCCAGTAAAATTTGTATTCAATTTGTATTTTGAACAAAACGAAGGTTACAAAACTTTTCTATGACGTGCTTATCCCAGGCCACAAACTGACATTTACAAATGTTGTCTTCACAAAAAGTCAAAAAAAGAACAAAATATCACACAAAAATACTAAAAACTCTGCTGACTATGTTCAATTATTCGAAGGTGTTTTTGCGTAGTTGAATAGAAAAAATTAATGATAACTATTATGATTGGGTGCGCTGCATTTTGAGTTGAAGATATCAAGATGAGTTATTGTTTTTGAGTTCTTCATTCAAGCAGAAAGCTGTTTAGTAAATATGGAAATAAATAGTTTGATAAGAATGTTGAAAAAATTGGAAAATTACCTGTGGGAAATAAGATAACATACAATATCTCTAAAAAATGCTTTGGAAGCTCTTCTGGTCCTTGTTCGTTTTTCCTCTACTTATTCTCAGTAGAGTTTGAATTACAGTGAAACAGCAAGCGATATTGAGCTATTTACGGCTTGCCATCTAAACAGTACTCATAGGAAAAAAAGACTTTTTGACTACGAAAAAAGGGGAATCGGTAAAGTCGCAAATCAGTTGCAAATATCCGCAAAAAATTCGCATTCATCAGTCGAGCCTATACTCAAATACCCTGTGAACAGTATCGTACCTAGGGTTTCTGTTCGGGGAGGAGTGGAGGGGGGGGGGGGGACAAAAATTTTTTTTTGATGAAGGTGCGTGGCGTTAGCCGTGTCCTCCAAAAAAATTTTTGGTATGCATCCTGAAGTTTTTGCAGGTCCATAACTCCGTTATTCCAGAAGAAGGGAGCGTTCCCAAAAAAAAAATTCCATAAAGCTAAATTGAAATTTCAAGCTTTTGTAAATTATATTGATCATTTACAAGTATAAAGAAGTCGCTCGCACATTCATAACTCATATATTAAGTAACTTTCAAAAACTTCGCGACCCATTCTCAGGTGGGGTGGGGGGGGGGTTGTCTCTGTACGCCACTATCTGTGAATGAAATTTTTGAATGAGACAATGGTGTGTTTGCATATGTTTCTTAATTATGACCTTGGACTGGACCTGAACTGATATCATTCGATTTTTTTAACGTACTATAATTCCTATCTCTGCTTCATTTATAGGTGTGCATTTTGTTTCGAAATCCGGGGGACGTCAAAGAATGTCGCCAAAGCTCTGCTCGATTTATTGCACATCTCTGACTTCTTACACTTGTCTTGTGTAAGCGAGGAGAAGGGCAAAGCGATGAAACACACTGCACATCAGGTCCAGGATCATCACGTTTGTCACATCCGGATCGAACCCGCAATGATGAGTGTGACAGGTAGTGCATGCACCGAGTCATTGTAAGAAATTCGCATTTTCTCCTTAACGATCTCTTCCAGCTCGTCTCGAAGGTGTGTAGAGCGGATTGCTCCCCGAGGGGTGGGCGGGCGTGGTGTCGGTGGACGGACGGAAGCGCGATTTGACTTCAACCGCACATCGATTCCTTCTTCTGGACTTCTTCTTACCGAGACACGGACGAACGGACGACATGCTGCTGGTGTTCTGCAAGTCTTAACCATCCTAATAGTCTAAAGGGCTAGCTCAGAACTTCGTCATTTGCACTCTGACTCGCCCTCAGCTCCACAGCTGATCCAGGGCTCGGCTCTATCAACACTTCCCACCCCCCGTTTGCACTCCTGGCCGTCGCCTCAGGCCCCCTTTATGTAATCTGCTCAGGTCCCATTGTTGTGCGTGCTGCTCTGCTGCTGCTATTCGACCCCCGTCTGTATCATGCTCTGTAATTATGGCATGCTTATTAACCATATTCTACTCATCATATGTTTATTACATTGCTCAAGAGGTAAATAAAATTTCTCATCAGTCCAAAAACCACAATAAAATCCTACAGTAACTCCCAAAATATCCAATCCTCCTGCTTGTTTTCCCCATCAGGAAAAAAGCAATTACGGGCACATTTAAACGCTTAGAAGACAGCACCGTTGACATGAAATTGACTCGAGGTTAATCAATTTTAATGGTGGTAGAAGAGTGACAGAGCAGCTGATGGATGACTATTTTGTGTGCCCGGGTATGTACGCAATTTGTTCCCATGAGAAGTGCATTCGGCACTGCAGAAAATGTTCTGTGAAAATATTGTTTTGAGCTTTTGCTTTCGGCAGGATTTATCTGTTATATACCTTTTCTGGTCAGGCTTGGAACTCGGAGGGCCGATTTAGAACTTTTTCAAAACTTTTGTTTCACTACAATATGGTGATTTATAAAAAAAGTCTTTTGATCCGCACTCAAACGCAAATAAAGAGGTGGATTAAGCAGATTACGGTCTTCAATATAACTTTCAATATAATCAGTATAACAAGTTTTAAAATAACAGAATGTTGGATCCTCCATTCCAGCTGCTTCAAAAATTCAAAACAATTTTGAGGATTTATTACTTTCGAAAAATTCGAAGGCCAATTTTATCGAGTAACTCTTTTCAAAATTTTGGTAACCGCTTAAAAAATCAACAACAATTTGTCAGATAAAATCCAACTTCTACCTTTTAATCACATTATAAAGCAAGTTACATTTTGCTCATCCCCTCTCTCAATTTCGTTTCTCATCATAAAACTTGAGGATATGTTCCCACTTGCTTGGAGATCAACCTTGACTTTTTCCACTTCTCCGGAAATCATAAAATCTGAGAAATTGGCATTTATCGCCCCGACAACACAGCCAGTGCAGCATCGTTTTGGTAGCTATGTGCACGAAAACAAAGGCTTTCCCTTTTCGCGCTTTCTTTGACAGATTTTATTTGAGCCATCCGCGAAACGCGATGGTGGAGCTATTTCACACTCATACAAAAAAAACTGAAACCCAGTTGAGTCGCATGGATGCTCGTAAAAATTGTCGGGAATAAGACAAACTAGTTAAATAACCACTTTATTCGGAGCTAGAGTCAAAATCTCGCCTTTTTAACGAAGGAGAGAGAGGGAGGGAGGGGTGGGGGGGGGGGGTGAGGGAAGGGTCAGATCAAAGAAGCGATCCTATTGCAATGTTCTTCTTCTCGTCACATATTGCAAACTATCGAAATAAGTTAGCTTTTTTGATTATTACGGTAGGCCGCTCACAGTTTTTCCTTTTTTATTGCTTTATTATCTTCGATGAATCCTATAAGTAAAGCTCCATCTTTGACTTCAAAGTAAGGCTTCCAATCAAGGATTTCCTACATGTAATATTTGTTGATTTCATTCAATTTCTCATAAAATTTTTGTGATACATAGGGCTTTGATTTTTGAATTCTGATGGGCTTAGTGACTATTTTTATCCCAAGTTTCCCTTACAAACACTATCAAGTTTGAGTTTTATATATTTCGCTCCTTCACATTATTTTCCGCAGCCATAATGAGCTCCCTTCAACTGTTCAACATCCCTGCTAATTTTGTTCAAGAAAGTTATGTCAGTGAGTTTAAAATGGGCTAATGAGCTAATTACAAGAGCAGCTGATATTGCTATGAGTCTTCGAGGTTGTTAAATTACAAATGTACTTAACAAGTTCTTGAGATCTCAGAAGTTTTCTGCACTTCTTGCATGAATCGCCTATCCACCCATCATAGCATGAAAAGTCAAAAACCAATATTAAAATAACGAGTTTTTCATTTCCATCACTCTCTGTGCGGATAATAACGAGAATTGAACTCTTCTATAATAACGAGCTCATTGACCATTTTTGGAGACATTTCTTGAGGAATGTTTTAGACAAGCCATATAGGTTGGCGCAATCTTTCCGTTTTCTTTTTTTCTGAGGTCTAGCATGCTTATGTCAATCATTTCGACTGCGGAAATGTTGCTTCGAGAGATATTATAGGAGAAACATGTCTAAGCTAAGTAGCCAGGAGACTATTTTATGGGTTTTGAATTTTTCCCCAAAGAGACAGAGAAAATTTAATGTTATTATCAAGAGTCTGAGCAGTTTGTATGCAGATTTGTAAGACAGAAAGATGAGAATAATTGCTGAATTTAGTAAAAAATACTTCGCAAATTTCGAAAAGCTGAACAAATAGCATCTTATTGAAAATGTAAAGGTCGTAAATTAAGAGACATTTTGTAGTGAAAGTACAATTTCTTTAAATTTTCATTCATGTTGATTTTTTGAAAGCAATTCTTCCAAAATTTGTGGTAGAAACCAAGAAAAACAAACTGAGAATGTTTGCGTTAGGTGGAAAGTAATGTATTTGGCATTCGAGAACTTAAAAAATGCTGGAAATGCTAATACGCAAAATATTTTTTCCGATTAAATAGGTTTCTGACGATTTCTTATCCGTCATGATTTTTCTCAAATTTTTCAGGATTTGTAGCAAAAAAGCCAAAGCCCAAAGATGTACTTGAAATGGTTGCTGACCGAAAATCTCTTGACGAAGTGGACGATTACCACTTAACAATCCGACAACATCATACAGATGCACATGGAAGGTTCGCCATAAATTCCACTACCCCCCCCCCCCCCCTCCACTCCCCGTAAACTTCCGCATTTTCAGGCTAGCGTCATGGATTCAGCGAAATGCTCGCTCGTATTTACCGATCCGTCATCCACAAACCACGCTCGACGTACACGTCAGTGCTGGACTTTATCAGATTGTCGATTTGGTAAGAATAATTTCCTGTTTTCTTACCCGGATGGGATAGATTAATGTGGGTAGCGCGTGAGCATCCAAATAAGGGGTTCATCAGGTTTCCGGAGAAGTCATAAATTGTGATGAGATGTTTTCACGATTATTGAGTGGATGTCACGAAAGCATACTTCATTCTCAGGGCTTCTTATTATTTTTTGTCTACTTTATCCGGAAATTCGCTAATTCCCCTCCCCCCCCCCGCCCCTAATCAAGCGATAAATTTTGCAAAGCAAATGGTAATCAAATAAGTCTCAGTTGTCCACTCACGATAGCCCTATCTTTGCTGGCGGCTACGTCAGCGTTCCCCAGGGTCCCATCTCACAGCCGACCGACTTTGCCCGGGGCGGGACATCCCAGCACATCAACCCCAACCCTTTGCAGTACCTTTTATGGATTCACATTCGTTTTCGAGCGAGGTTGGCAGGAAAGTAGAGGGATATAGAGCTATGGAAATTGAACTTTGATAGTTAATTAATTTTCAGAATCAAAACATTAAAGCTATTCTATTCAGCTTCGAAAATGACAAGGAAGTAGGAATTCTCATTTTTTTCTCTCTCCAACAGTTTCGAGAAATCCAAAGTTGGTGTAGGGGGAATTATTTGGCTTCTACTCAGAATTTTTATGAATTCCAAAAAAGAAGTGAAACGAGAGCCTTCCAGCTATTTCTTCAATTCCGAGGAACTCCAAGTGGAGGAATAAACATGAAACTCATAATGTCCTCCCGCATAGTTGTGGATTTTCAATACACTAATGAAACGGGAAACTTGAACCTTTTTCTCTACTCTGAAGATTCTGAAATAAGAATGAAACGGTAAACTTAGAGTTTTTCTCTCAACTCTGAAGATTTAGAGTAGGAAGAAAACGGGAAACTCAAGCCATTTTTCTTAGTTTTGTAGAGTTCATCGTAAGAATGAAACAGGAAACTTTCAGCTATTGTTTCGAATTTTTGAAGAGTCTGTGCCAGTAAAATATTTTTTCTAAAAATCTGCGTTGTATTTGATAAGCTTTCTGAAAAACACACGATTGTTTTGTGTTTTTCAGAACTCAGATTTCTCAGAATTTTTACAATTCATTATTTTGTGTTTCAATTTGGTACTTGCTGCCAGCTTCTTATTATTGAAACGAAGCAGATTTAGCTATTATTGTTACTGAGATGAAATAAAAGAAATTCTGAATGATATAATTGTATGGCTCTTTTAAAATTTTCTCAAAACACATCCTAACTTCAGCTTTAGATGAAGTCTGGATTTTAGTAACCACGAACGCTTTTTTTCACCTTATTTTGAAGTGTTAAAATTTACACCCCATTCGTAAACATACAAGTATTTCAGGAATACGAATATTTTTTCCTGAAAATTCAGCTGTCTCTAGAGGATTTATCGGTATTGTGTGACAGAAACTTCACAATGGTTATGCGACCTCTTATAAGAATCTTCATTTTTTGTCATCTCAAAATATGCTCAAATATTCTGGCTATTGACAAAAGGGTGCCTATCTTCCACATAATTAAGACCCTTCCATACATAATCCAGGGAAGATGCGTGGAATGACGAATATCAGAGAATCGCTATGATAGAGCTAGAAGATTCTCCAAAACTCTCGTTCTTTGGGATTTTCGAAAGTTATTTGCCACTGCGAACACTCGACCGTAATCGTCTGAAGTAGTACTTGAAGTTTATTAGCAAGGAAATCTATTCTTTCTGTGATCTGATTACAGTACGTATTCAGCAAACGAAATATTACGTACTTGTCCGCAGTTTTACGTACTTTAATTACATGACGAATGCATGACACTTGAGAAGTTCTATTTCCTGGATTTTGCCTTCGTCATGCTCAAAAAAGAAAAATTGCATGCACATCCAGCGCTTTTTTTTTCAAAAAGGTAGTCACATTTCTTTTTGCAAACACCT